AGGAAGAAATTCTATTAGCATATTCAGTCAAGCTCTAAATAGAGGCAATTCTTAGAACTAATATTTATGTGCAGGCATTAATTGCAAAGAAAAATAATTTACTTGTAAATGCAAGATTGTATTAATTTTATCTGTAATGAAATTTTTGTTCATCCTGAAATCATAGCAAATTATTAAAATTGCTTTGTGAGGAGTACAAAGTTACCAAGGGAATCAAATTTGTTTTATAAGGACACTTGATGTAATTAATTTAAATAATATCTCTTTTCTTTTTTTATACCCGACTTTAGATAATGATTTTTTTAAACTTAGTAAAAAATAGTAAAAAACTATTTTTCCCATTTCTATCCCTTTCCCTTGTCATTTAATCTTCTAGAATACACCTTTAATTTTCTATTCTACACTAACTGCATTATATTGCATCTTATAATGCTCTATTAGAGGATAAATTCAGAAATTATATATGCTTTTGAAACAAGTAAAGACAGAATTGTTGGTGAACACTTTTGCCCAGAACTTCAGGAGGATAGGTAATGTAACCAGGTCTGATCTTCAGCTAGTGCACACTATTTTAGTTATAGTGTCTAGTTTCTTCTCTGATGGGTCAAGGCCTAACCCTTAAGGCTATTAAATATTTCATTAATTATCTCTGCTTGAATAATAACTCCAAAACTTCATGTGAACTCTAAATATCTTTAAATTATCAGACTTAATTTATTCTCAGAGTGTATTTGAGTTCTGTATAAAATTCCACATCTTTGAAATCTGGAAGTGACAGATAGGAAGTTCTTTGCTAGTCATTCTTCCTTTCCATAGCACCCCTATCTAATTCATCAGTAAATTTTACTGGCTTTCCTTTCAAACTCCTCTCATTGCAGTCTCTTTTGTTACTATAGCCTAAGTCATATGGTCCTGCTCCTAGACAGATGGAATAAGTTATTTTTTGGTCTCTCTGTTTCCAGCCTTACTTCTGATAGTGCATTCTCCAAACAAAAGAAGAATTGCTAGTTATTCCTAAAAAAAAGGCCCAGTGCCTGTCTTAAAGGCCTCTACCCTTGTGTCCCCTCCCCTGGGTTCTTTGCTCGAGTGATCCTTACCTCCAGAGTGCTCCAGCCTTGTACACACACACCGCTGGAATGCCAGCTCCCTGCAAGCAAGGTGATTGTTTGGCTCCCTCTGGTATCCTCAGAACTCCATCTGACACGTAGCAGTTGCTCAAATGAATGAATGAATGAACAAATGGTTGAACAGTGTTTCCAGTCATTCCTTCTGAGTACACTCTGGTTTAGGGATAGAAAGCCAAGTTTTTTAAAATTTCTTTTTGTTGTCCTTATTCGGTGGTGTTTTTACACATGAAATATACTGTAGCGAAAGCAATATAAACCATTTAAAATCTTATGATTAAAAGCAGATGACAGTGACAAAGGAAATCAACCAATATTAAGCAAAATGAAGCCTATTCAGTATTAAATTATTAAAAAGAAATGGGATCAACATAGAAAAAGAAATTGCTTAATGTTATCAAAGAATGTGCACATGAACACTGCCTGAGTGAAAAGATGCCCTAGACTCTAATGTGCAAAGATTTTGTATCATAATATTCACATAAAGGAAATTCAAACCAGATTTCCAGTGGGAAACTATTTTGTTTTCAATTGGCCTGCCCTCACTCATCACCTGACCTACACTGGTCGCTGCCTTGCATCTCCTTGGTTTACTTTGCTCAAACTCTAAAACATGTTTTATAAGTAGCTTGTCATTTTCTTGTTGTTTTGATGGTGATGATGGTGGTGACGGTGGTGTTTATGTTTTGATTGTCTGTCTCACCTCTAAATGTAAGCTTCATGAGGGAAGGAACTTCTTATCTTATTCATTCCCATATTCTCAGCATAATAATTTCCTGGCACATGTTTGGTATGTAATAACTATGTGTGGAATTGATGAATAAAGAAATGTCCAATGCTCATCCCAATAATTTTTATATAACAAAGAATGCTGGTTAAAAAAAGTAATTTACTAAAAGTGAGATTAAAATAATATAAAATAGTGTGATGCTAGCATGAATAGATGAGCACAAAAGAAAGGAGGATTTGCTGTGTTTTACAATTTAATAAATGTGTCATCTCAAATTATTGGAGAAGAATGATTGAATTGACAATGATTGATTTATTATATAGGCATGGCATAATTATCTGTCCTCCTTGGACAAACAAATTGAGTACTCTGTTGTCACATAATATTAAAAAAATAATTCCAGAAATTTATACCTGCACAAACATACAAAGTCATCCCTTGCTTAAAGACAGTGATATGTTTGGAGAAATGCATGGTTAGGTGATTTTTTTGTTATATGAACAGCATAGAGTAGATTTACACAAACCTTAATGATAGGACCTAGGCTACAAACATGTAGAGCATGTAATTGTACTGAATACTGTAGGCATTTGTAACATAGTTGCAAGTATTTGTGCATCTAAACATATAAAAGTGCAGTAAAAATACAATAGAAAAGATGCAAAAAAAAAAAAAAACACACTTTATAGGGCACTACTGGAGTGGAGCTTACAGGACTGGCAGTTGCTCCTGGTGAGTGTGGCTGAGTGGTGAGCGAATATGAAGGCCCAGACTGTGCTCTGCTGTAGACTTTATGAACCCTGCACACTTAGGCTCCACAAAGCCTATTTTAAAAGTATTTTCTTCAATAAGAGATAGACTTCAGCTTGCTGTAACTTTTTTATTTTATGTACTTTTAATTTTTTAAAATGTTTTGACTCTTTTCTAATAACATTTAGCTAACAACATACTTTGTACAACTATATAGAAATATCTTTTCTTTATATTCTTACTCTAAGCTTTCTTCTATTTAAATTTTTTTTTTATTTTGTCTTTCAAACTTTTTTGTTTAAACTAAAGACACACACACGTTAGCCTAGGCCTACACAGAGCAGTGTCATCAATAACATTGTCCCACTGAAAGGTCTTCAGGAGCTATAACAATCATGAAACTGTCATCTCCTGTGACAATGACTTCTGGAATTCCTCAAAGGGACCTTCCTGCCTGTTCTCTCTAAACAATAAAATGTATAAAATAGTAATCTGTACTATTACTAGTATGTAACATAGTCATTTATTATTATTAACAATAACAGTCATTTATTATCATCAAATATAATTGCTTTACATAACTGGTTGTGCTATACTTTTATGCAACTGGCAACACATTTGGTGTGTTTACACCAGCATCACCATAAACACTTGACTAATACATAGTAATACAATGTCTATCACATCTCTAGGTAATAAGAGTTTTTCAGCTCCACTGTAATCTTTGTGTGTGTGTGTGTGTGTGTGTGTGTGTGTGGTGCTAGAGATTGAACCCAGGGCTTTGTGCATGCAAGGCAAGCACTCTATCAACTAGGCTATATCCCCAGCCCTTCCACTGTAATCCTTTTTTAAAAAAAAAAAATTATTTTTTAGTTGTAGTTGGACACAATACTTTTATTTTATTTATTTTTATGTGGTGCTGAGGATCAAACCCATGGCCTCACATGTGTTAAGCGAGCGCTCTATTGCTGAGCCACAACCCCAGCCTCCCCCCCACACTGTAATCTTATGGGACCATTTGTATACCAGTGTATACTCCATCATTGGCAAAAATACTATTATTTGGTGCATTGCTCTACCCACGCATACGTGTGTGTGTGTGTATGTGTGTGTATACTTGATTATATACAAAAAATTTCTGTAAACTAATAAAGGACCACCAACAACACAATATTAAAATCAGTACCAGCCATGAAAAGTGAAATTTGAAATTGAAGAGGAAATGCAAGTGTCCAGAAAGCATATGAAAAGAACCCCCAGAATGCTTTATCAAGTACAAGTTTGGCAAAAATGTAAAACACTGATAACCACTAGTGCTAGGAAGCATATGCAGAAAAAGACATTATTTTTCATTGCTGGTGGGAAAATGAGAAATAGTTCTTCAGCATCTATTAAAAAGTAAAATATGCATACTGTTTGCCAGGCAATTTTATATGGGGAGCATCTATCCAACAAAAAATAAATGAGAGTATCATGTTTGGAGATATTTATTATAACATTGTTTGTAAGGAAAAAGAACTGAATACTACATAAAGGTTCATCAAATAAGTTATGGTACTTTTATTCTATGGAATGTTATACAGTTTTAAAACAATCATTACATATATTTTCTAGATTTGAAGGACAGCCAAAGTAGATTATTAAATGCCAAAAAATGTCTCCAAGTAATGTTTAATGTAAAATCCATTTAAAAATTAATAGTATATGTGTTTATGTATGGGTTTTACATATGTGTATTTATGAACAAGTATGTGCAAAGAGACATACCAAGCCATTAACAATCACTGTGTCATCAGGGATCGAAAATTGGAGCAGTGGAGGAGATTAGTGATTATCTATTCCATATTACTTTATTGTTTAACTTGGTAAAACAAACATGTTCCTTTTTCACTTAAAAAATCTAATAATGGTTGTCCAATGATGAATGAAAATACACACTATTGGACATGAATACTTCAGCTTTGATCATATGTAAATTCCATGTATCATAAGAAAGAATATCCAACATCGTTGTATTTGATCAGAGATGAAACAGCCAATCTCACCTGATCTGTGTGCCAATGTTCTTCTATAAACTAACTTAGAGTTTGAGATTTGGAATTTGTGGGGTTTTTTTCAATCAATTAAAACTTATTCTAAAATAAATAATGAGTAAAGAAACTAGACTATGAAGTAAATTAATCTAGACAAAAGAAAGCCTTGTGTAAGATATCACAATCTTCCTGTTTTACTCTTTAAAAAAACCCGTCTGGTCTCCAGGTGACAACTTCACTATGGCTTGTCCACCAATGACTCACTCAACCACTGCCTTTTAAACTGCTGAGTTTTCTTCAACATACTTTAAATATATGCATGTGATATGAAGATTGTTTATCATTTTTCTTTTTTTATTTCAGAACGCTTTACCCTGTACAGCTCTAAAAACCTTAGACAAGCATGGAATAAGTAAGTCTTTATACAGATTTTGCTCCTTCTCTTTCTCTCTCTCTTAATGTTGACAACCCACCTGATAAGTTGTCATGACACTTTTTTCATTCATTCATGCTTCTATCCATTCATTCATGTTTCCTTTAGACTGTTACCAAACCCTAATTGTGTGCCAGCTACCATGTTCAGCCTGAGCCATCAGATAGTATGGGTTTGGGTTCCTAGAGAGTCGCAGCATGTAAATCCTAAAATTCATTCTTGTAACTAAATTCCAGGAAATATTTTACTATCAGCAGAACAACATTTATAAAATACAATATAGTGACTAACTTTCTAATCTAAACTATCTAAAAATTGGTGACAACTTTTGAGCTAGATGAAACTCTGATGCCTCACATTTTTTCCATTTACCTGTTTTTTCCCCCTAAGCCATGTATCATTTTTACTCTGCTTTTTTTATTTCTGTTCTGTCATCTGGCCTTGTTGAAATAGTTTTATTTATTGGTTTCAAAACATCACAAAATATGAAGATCTGGGTTTTATATGTTATTTAGGAATCCTTTGCCACAAGCCAACCTGTTAGCAAATCCCTGCAAGTTGGAAAGCAGAGTAACGAGTTGCTCCCTTTTAGTCTCAGGTATCACGTTCCAAGCGTAGAACAGATAACTGAGACTTCTTTGATTAAATAAACTATCATTTGTCATAACATTTTGTCCATGGGGAATTTAATGTTATGATCTCACTTTTTACTGTTAGGACATCTTTCATTTGGGGCATCATCAGTTATGGAAAAAATGTCTTTCCTTTGAAAAATGCTTTTTAATCAATGCTATCAGAAGAAACAGCATACAGTGAGTGGATGGTGAGGAATGAGTACATTAAACTGCAGTAGTTTAGCTTGAAGGATTTAGCCATTTTTTTAAAAATCTGAACTTAGAAAAACACGCTGGTATAATCATTTCTGCCTAACACAGGGCTTTGCTCTTGTTATTTGGAGTCAGTTTTCAACCTGTGGTCTCCCCTGGGAGCAGGCCCTCTGCAGGGAGCCTTCTGCGCGCTTGCTTCTCACCTTTCACCTACCCCTTTACTGGTCCCTGGCCAAGGTACTGTAAGTACACCAGCTAATACTGAGTGTACAGTTCCTACCCCAATGAAACAAACACATTCCTCCCTTGTAGTTGCTCAAAAAGTTTTTTCCAACCAGGTAACTATTTCATGAAATACTTCTTGGTAAAGCAGTTGAAGTATAGCAGTCTAACCCTGAATTTGAATAACAGGAAAATCTGACAAACCACCCAATGCATAGCAGCAACATATGATTGTGGGTAATAGATCTATAAAAGTATAAAGTTAGACTTAATTTAAAGTCATTAAATAAACTGAGTCCCACTTTTAAATAGGGAAAATATTAAAGGTTAAGCTCGAGGACAAATTTTTAAATTGTGAACATGACTTGTTCAGCATCACACTATTTTTTAAATCCCCATAAATCTTATTTTTGTTGCCTTAAGGGTTTATTTCAGAAACACTAAATATTAAAATCATCACTAAAAATATTATTAAAATATTATTTTCTGTTATGCCAGTGTTAAGTGCTCAATCTTTGGAGCCAAACTATGGCCTTTAGCCAAATCAAACTTAATGAAATTTCAAGAGAACTAAGAATTCAGAAATGAATTATATTATTGACTCTTCCTCCAGATGTACCTTGAACCCATGGTTCATATTGCAACATCTCTCACTTCTGGAATATGATGTAGGGTAGAAAGAATTGCATTAAATTACTATTAAACAAGTGCTGTTTTTTAAAATTACTGATGAGTAATTTGCTCATCTGTAGCAAAATGTGTAAACTGAAGCAATCAGTAAATTTTCTTTTACAATGGTTATAGCTTCAGAATGGGGTGAACTAGTTTGAATTCAATTCAGGTGAGTTAATATAAGATGGATGGGTTAATATAAAAAAAGTAAGTTGCTGTTCAAAATGAAGTAAAATGCCTTTAGAGATATGCATGAACAGGTATAAAAGTTGGTAGAGATGTTAACACTCCTAAGAGCATAGGAATTTCTAAAATGAGTCCTTCAGTCTCTGCCTAGCTATCACACATGACCCAGTTCATTTGGGGGCTGTATCTGCCCTAGCTAACACCCATGCAGTTCCCTGCTGACTTAATTTATATCAGTAACCATAGGCATAATTTTATCCTTTGAAAGATTTTTTAGTATTCTGGGAAAACAAAGCAGTGATGAGGGGGGCATATCAAAAGATCCAATAGATATCGAAACTGAAAAGCATAATACAAAGAAGAAATCTTAATTATAGGATTGAGAATAAGAAATTTACATCAATAAAGAAAAGAAAGCCCTTTTCTTCTCTCATACTGGAAGTGCATGATCCGTGTGGGCTCTTTCTGCATAAAGGGGATCTGGGGCTGAGAGACAAATCTTAAATTTATAAAAATATGTACTGTTTTCTGACTGCCTTCAAAACATTCCATTATATTTCACTGGAGTTATAAAGACTCTCCCTATTTCTCTTCCAAATCTCTCTATTTATAGTTGTCTGACATTGGCATGTATGTGCAATCAACCAAGAATTCCAGCCACTTAAAAGATCTTTTATTATTTTGGCTGGGGAAGAAGCCTTAGTATATAGTCTCCAGCAAAGTTAAGGGTAGGATTCCAGGAACACATTTGCTTGTTTTGGAACTTTTTAACAGCTGAACAATTTGGGAGGTTTGAAAATATTGAAATGAGAACTAAGGATAAACCACTAAGTGACAGAAGACAGATCTGGAAAACACAGTTAGCGGCTGATGTAGCAGAACCCACCCACAGGCTTCTAATAGGTACAGGTCAACTCTTTCCTGCTTCTTCCCCTCCTGATCTAGTCGTTCATAGAATTCTTTTGTCAGTTAAACCCAACTGGATTTCTCCTAAGAACTCACATAAGTTGATATTTTTAAATGTGTAGTATATACAGGAACAGTGTAATGAAGCCACCTTTCTGGAAAAGCTAAAATAGAAAAGAAAACATTTTCAACATGCCAGCCGAGTCACAAACCCAAATTTGGAAGACTTAGATATGTTTCCTAACTCTGTGTTCTTGAACTTTACTTGAGTATTTTATCTGACACCATGTTTAACCTCTCAAACATATTTTAAAGATGACTAGATGGTTGTGTAACATATGCACAAAACATAATGTATTTAAACTGACACATAGAGGAAGAAGCTAACTTTAACTTTGCATGTTTGTTAGAGGTACCCTATTTATGTTTTCCTTGTCACCATATCTGATGTGCCCATTAAGATTTAAGTCAGTGCCTTCTCAAGAAACTGAAAGACCCTATTTTTCCATTCTGCCCTATTGTTCTACATTGATCTAAATATCTAACAAAATAATATACTGCAAAGTAAATTAGAGCTTTAAACTTCTCTGCTGGTTTAGAAATGTGAGGAAGGTGAGAAACACTGTTAGCACACTAGGAGGAGCAGTTGAGTTGAGTCCGATCTTGAAATCGTCTTTCTCCTCTTCCACGTTTTTTTTGCTGTTGATTATTTTTGTTATAATTATATTTACTTCAAAGTAGCAGTTTTAATTTATTTAGTGCCTGGAGACTTTGTCTCATAATATTTTCAAAGGAATTATTCTGTACATCATCTATTCATTCTTTGGGGGAGAGGGGCTCATTGGGGGTGACAAGCTCTAAAGCAGACACTAAAGCAGACATTTTGGGATCCCAGCCTCTTAACTGCAATTGGCTGCAATTATGGACTGCCCAGCTCTGTGGGAGTCAAGCCCTGCAGTAGAAGGCTGTGCAGGGAGTAGCACCTCACCACATTCTCCTACAGTGTTCAACACATGAACTGTCGAATCCAAGCAGGTCTCTTGTTCCGACCTTAGACACCCATGCTTGATATTATTCTAAGGCCCCAAAGGCTCGCCTGCTTGCTTCAAAGTTGCAGTTTAGGGCGATTTATAGGGACACATGTTTTCATAAGAACGAATCGTTAGTTGAGTTACTGAAAGCATTATGTGTTCTTCAGACCCTCTAAACCACTAGCCATCTAACAGAGAGTAGTTCTTCTAGGAAATTGCAGATTGGATTCCTGAAAGGAAAAAAGGGGAGGTACTAAAATAAGAGTTGCTTTCTAGGCCTTGGTGAGTGTCCTAGAGAATTCAAAGAAGGTGGAATTAAGGTCTGTCTAAAAACACATATTGGGGTCAGTTCCAGGAGGACAAAGAGGAAGCCCTGTGAGAACTAGCTAGGAAATTTGCCAAAGACCTGGGCCTGATTCCTAGTAGTAGCAACAACATCAATGTGAAAAGATGGGACACATACTAGTCAATAGCTAGGATATACTCATTGCCCCAGAGCCACAGTCATCGTGGAGGTGGTATGGCTAATTAACATTTGGAAATCTTTTTATTTTTTTGCTTCCATGTATGTCACATATCCTTATAGGAGGATTTGAAGGTAATTGGGGAACATACTACCATCTGTATTTTTTAGCTTATAATAAAAGACATGCTCAACAAGGACAAATGATGATCACAACTGAAAATCACAACTTGGAATGTACGCCCCACAGTGAACCTTTAAAAAGAACTCCAGTATTATCAGTTTTAAACTGCAATATCCACATGGGCTTATAAATATCTCATTTTACTTTTTTCTTGCTGCAACTTTTAGAGAGATCTCTTGTGGGAAGTAATACCGTTCTCAGTCTAGGTTTCATGTGGCAGCAGAATTGGGAAAAAGTGAAAACCCAGTTTCCTCTATCCTAAGAAGAAAGTACTTGCAGCAAGCTGACCACCCACACCACCAATCAGGTTTCTCCTGCACCATTGCAGGCAGTGTGTCACGACAGGATAAAGGCTAAGGTTGTGACAGTCCAAGTACCAGAGTTGGCAGGCCTGCCAGCCACCCACTCACCCTGGGAGTGAGACTTGTCACCTGTTTCACACAGCTCTCATTACCCCCAGGGACTGACATCCTGTCATTCTGTGTCAC